GCCCGGAAACCTGGAAACCCAACCTGCCCAAAAAAAGCGGGGCCCTCCCGTATATATATTTTTTTTATTTTTTTTATCACACGGCCGATTCCCACCATATATATAAAAAAAATTTAAAAATATTAATATACAAATTTTTAATATATAAAAATAAAAAGCTTTTAAAAAAAAAATGTAGTGTGACCTAAGTGGGAAATAACAAGACATTTTCCTGAAATTTTTGCATGGTTTTTGAGAAAAAAAAAAACAAACAATCCAAACATTATGTAAAACAATTACAGGGTTTTGTTTTACGGCACTTGGCATGAGGGGGGTTAACCCCCAGGTCGGCTTCTGTCTACACACCTACTACCCAGGATTAAACCCTAATGTTAATAAAAGCCAAAAAGATAAATTTCGATGATTTACACGCGCCATTAATTTAACCATGGCTTTTGAAAAAAAAGCCTTATGGGTTTTTCTACCCCTAAGGAGATATCTGCATATGGCCCCAAACAAATCGTGTAGGAAATTTTTCTACACAAGCTCTAAAGAATCCACATGTAGCACATCTACTCGTAACTTTCAATGTGTCCCGTTGTGCTATGGCTTTGAAGCCAGCGTCAGTCCCGTTGTACTATACCATGAGCTCAGCTCACTGATAAGCCAAGTGAAAAATTTGTCTAGATATGAGAGGATGTGTTTGTGGTAGGTGTGCATTACCCAAAAAAATCCTGCACACGCAGTATGAGAAAAATGCAACCTTTTTAGTTTAAAAAAGTAACTTCACTTTTTGTATGGTTTTTATGGTTGTATTCTTGTTTTTTGCTCTCATTTGATAAAGTATATTACAGAAAAACAATTTTCATGGGTTTCAACACAAAGCAGCTTGAAGCTGAGCTCAAAGTTATGGAAATGTTCGATTTTTGCCGATATTCCAGAGTACACAAATACATGTCCAACTGGCCAATCTAATATATTTAGGAAGGCACTGACATACAATTATTACTATGTAGCGGTCTGCATAACGGTAAATTTATTACTTTACAAAAATTCAAAATGGAAAGCAAACATTATAAAAGGTGCCTAGAGACATGACTAACAGGAAATTTTTTTTTTAGTGCCACGACTGTATTGTTTATACTGGACCCCATTCTTAAATTTATAATTTTTGAATTTAACCAAATTACCAATTTCTAATCACTACTGGATAGCTGAAATAGGTAAATGGGCAGCTTCTTGTACTTAATAGAAGAAATACTAGCAAAATAGTTTGGTCAAGTAGAACAATGAAATTGGCCAAAAACAGGGTGCAAAGTGGGCAAAATGACTGATGCATAAATATCGCAAAGACTGCTAACTTTGCCAGAGTAATTCCAACAAATAAAAATACAAACAAAAATCCACCACAAAAAAAAAAAAAAAAAAAAAATGTACCTTCAATTTCATTACTTTTGGAAAAAATTCTCAACCCTAAGAGTAAGCTTGAGATCAGGAGTCCCAACCCTGAAAGGGTTAAGGCATGCAATTCCCAAAACATTGATCTGTGCAGCTTTCTCCTGGACAGAACCCAGCGGCAGCAGCGGCATCCTAGCAGCTCTTATTCTTCAAGAAACCATCGCTCATCAAAGCTTGTGATGGCCTAATTGAAGGTACAACTACATGAACCCACGCAGACCACAAAATGACCCAAGAATACAAAGAATGTAACCCAAATCTTGACAAAATAGAAAATCTAAGGAAGACAGCCCTGCTAACCCAAACACTGCCTCCGCTGCCAGACAATCACTTAACACAAGCTCAGGGAATCAAGCCTTCTCTGCCATAGCTACACAGTATCTACTTTAGTGATACTATAAAAGGATATCGCAGAAGAAACATCAGTAACAAAAGAACAACATCAAGGACCCTAGAAGTCAATTTGTCTACCCCGCAGGACACCAGCGTATCATCAACCCCCATCACCACCACCACCCAGGGAACAACAACAAACATGGCTGACTCCCCCTCGAACTCCACTCCCTTCAAAGGATTCACCTATGATAACTCAGGTATGATTATTCCTGACAATATCAGGGACAAAATCGTTGCTCTAGAAAGAGAAATCAAAGATATTATAGCAACACTTGCGCGACAAGAATTCAAGATAACCAACCTCGAGAACAAGATCCAAAACCTTGAAGAGAAAATTACATCGGGAAGTGTTGATACAGATTACTGATGCACACATGAATAAAGACCCCCTACTACTAACAGGAGATTTCAACAAACATACTACACGACCAGGACCCACAAGTAACCTAATTCACAAACACAATGAGTAACTGCCTGTTCCTACCAGCAATATCTAAACCTACAAGAATCTCCGAGACAAGCATCTCCTTAATAGACCACATCTGGACAAACACCATATCCCCTTTAAAATCAGGCATAATCACAGACAACACTACAGACCACTACCCAACCTTTCTCACAATTAATCTGGGCAAACTGCCACAACACATTACTAAAGTAACCTTCAGACTACATAACGAGACAGCAGTTAACAACTTTATAGCAGCTATGAACATCGATTGGCAAAATTAGCTCGAAACATACACAGATATGAATGAATGTATAAATAATTTTCTAAAAAAAGCTCAATGCCTCTAACAGACATTGCCCCAGAAAAACTACACAGATCACAGCAAAGAGATTGAATAATCCCTGGCTAACACCAAGCATCCTCAAATCTATTAACACAAAGCACATATATGAAAAATATAGAATGGGTCAAATAACTAGAGAACAGTCAAAAAGTTACTCATCAGCACTTACCAGCCTGATAAGGTCAAAAAAATTGTATAATGAAAATAGATTACATAACATCAAAGGTGATATGAAAAAAAACTGGTAAACTATCTGAAATTCTTGGAACTAAAAAGATATCCAAAAACAAAATCAAACTAACAAAATCAGATGAACCCCTACTCACTCCAACCGAAACAGCGAACAGACTTAATATTTTCTTCACTATAGGAAAAAATCTAGCTAACAAAATACCAAGCACAAACACCCGTCGATCAGACTACCTCATAGGTACCCACCCAAATACGCTATTCCTAGCTCCAACCAACCACATTGAAGTTACACCCATCATAAACACCCTTAAAAACAAGGCAGGAGACAAAACTTGCCTGCTTTTATGTACAAAAGAGCTTCTCAAGTATTGTCACCAATTATTTCAACGCTCTTTAACAAATCGTCTACCTTTCCAACAATCCTCAAAATAGCGAGGGTCACTCCAATCCATAAAGAAGGTGATCAAGCTGACTTGAGTATTATAGACCAATATCTAACTTACTACTGCTCTCTAAAATCTCTGAAAAATTAATTCATAGACGGACCTATTCTTACCTCGTTTCACACACATTAAACCCTTGTCAGTTTGGATTCAGGAATAATATAAGCACAAATGATGCTATCATACACATGCTAAAACTAATATATACCGCACTTGAAAAAAAAAAAAAAGTCCCGCTGGGCATTTTCACTGATTTACGTAAAGCTTTCGATACAGTCGACCACGAGCTGCTGTACTCCAAATTAATGCACGATGTTATCAGAGGCCACTCCAACTACCTAAAGTCATACCTTAGTAACAGAACTCTATGTGTATGCAAATGATGTAAATTCTTCCACCCAACCAATCACAATAGGAGTCCCACGAGGAAGCATCCTTGGACCACTCCTCTTTCTCATCTACATCAATGATCTACCGAATGCATCGTAGCTACTCAAACCCATATTATATGCAGATGACACTACATATGTCTTTTCCCACCCAAACAGTCATATTAGCAAACATAGTCAATGCTGAATTACAGAAAATATCTGCCTAGGTGACTAAAAAAAACTTACCCTGAACACTGATAAAACCTATTTCATTCAGTTTGGAAACAAAGTTGCAAATGATCCAATTAACAATGCTAAATGGATCATCAGTCAAGACTCGGAGGGAAAATTCCTAGGTATCCACCTTGACAGTAGCCTTAAGTTCCCGACACACAACAAATCACCAAGAAAATCTCCAAGACTGTAGGCATACTATCAAAGATAAGGTACTACGTTCCACAATCAGCTCTCCTGGCACTGTACCATTCACTCGTACCCTTATCTTACATATGGAATTTGTGCATGGGGATCAACAACATCCAATCTAAAACCCCTAATAACCCAGCAAAAGGCAGCAGTAAGAAGAACAAATTCCCACTCCCACCAGCATACTCCACCAATTTTCAAGTCTGAATCTGCTCACCACTAAGAACAGCCATACTTATTCATGTGCCTACTACATACACAGAACAATACAAGCAGGCAAACCCTCCACTCAAACATCTCCTCACCAACCTAAACAGGACATTACCACAACACAAGACAGATCTCTTTGATATACCTCATGTCCATATCACCAGTGTAAAAACTATGCACATAAAGGGCCCCCAAAATATGGAATTCATTACCAGAAGATATTAAAGTAACCCCATCTGTAAATCAATTTAAGACTTCTCAAAAGCCACTTAATCACCCTAGACTAAATGCTAAATACTCAGTACACACATACTTATGTACTCCCACATTATAACTTCAACAATCACTTTGAACATTTTATCCATTGTTGACAGGAATATAATCGAATCTGTTTTCACAAAAGGCATTTTCGAATATAAATATATACTACTCCTTAGTATTAAGTAGAACGTAAGCCAATAATGTTAAGTTGGCCCATAATGCCTAGGCATAATAGAGGCTCTCTTTGAATTGCAACCCACTATTGTAAATACAAAATCTCAATGTAGTTTGCAGACAAAAAAAATAAATAAATAAAATTAAATCTAAAATTTTTGTGATAACTACAATACTAGCATCGGATACTTTTTATAAAGATTATTTTGTTCAATGGTAAATTCAATAAGACTGCAAAAGAATAAATAGCTCAAGAAACATGCTCAACTTAAAATGGAAAGAATTACAGTACTTACTACCAGGTCTGCAATTGTTATGTCATTTATTTTATTGGCATTTGCTTGATGGCAAAACACATTAGCATCTTGACACCCCATAAGAATGGCATCTTCCATCGTTGGACTCCCAGGTTCACTGTAACATTACGAGAGCAACTGGTTAAAAGTAAAATTATGCCAGGGCTTACCAATGATTCTTCTTTATCACATAATGTATAAAAACCCAGTCAAAACTGGATTTCTACACCACAAATACCCCTACAGTACCCCTATCGTATTTGTACTTGGGGATGTACCATGGCCAATCACCTCAAACTCTTAATAACCAAACAAAGAGCAGCAGTGCAGATAAGCTTCAGTGCCAGACAACACAACCCACCTCTTCAAAAACATCATCTATACATCTACCTTTTTTTTTTTTTTTTTTTTTTTTTTCACAGGGTTTGACAAGGTTAAGGATCCCTAGCTTTATTGATAAGCTATTTACAGGTTAAGGATTCCTAACTTTATTGGCAAGCTAAGAGCTGTTACTTACATCAGCTCATTTGAAAGCATTTTTATTGTTATGAGACATACAAGTAGGGAACAGGATGAAGTTGGAGCCATCTGTGGGCCAGCATTTTCATTTGATCAACTGACGTTATCTCGTTGACATCATTATGCTGTACGAATGTGTTCCATACTCGAGTCATCCTCGGTATATATGATCTCAGATGGAGTGATGTTCTGGAGAAAAGTTGCTGCTTTCTGACCATCTTGTGGCATAAAAGCTTGTTTCACGCTGTCCTTGAAGTGGATCCAAGTGTGGTACTTTGACAATATTGGCCTTGTACATAACAGTAAGGACATCCACATCCCTCCTATGTTGAAGGCTCTGCTGAAATGACAGATCTATCCAGGATGGGTCCAGGCGAGAGATGAGGCGTCTTGCTCTGTTCTCTACTCTGTCAAGCAGTCGCAGATGAGAGGGGGGGCAGGCAAACCAAGTGAAGCATACTCAAGGTGGGAGCGTACTTGTGCCTTGTACAGAATCTTGCAACCCCTACCGTCAAGTAGATGCAAGATACGGCGAAGTGCTGTAAGCTTCCTGGCTGCCTTGTTTGCAAGATTTACAACATGGTTCTTCATGGTTAGTTTGGAGTCAAATTTCACCCCAAGGATATCAACTCTACATTCTCTCTCTCACGCACTCTCTCTACATTTCTCTCTCTCTCTCTCTCTCTCTCTCTACATTCTCTCTTTTTTCTCTACATTCTCTCTTTTTTCTCTACATTCTCTCTCTCTCTCTTTTCTCTACATTCTCTCTCTCTCTTTCTCTACATTCTCTCTCTCTCTTTCTCTACATTCTCTCTCTCTCTTTCTCTATATTCTCTCTCTTTCTTTTCATTTCTCTCTCCCTTTCTCTAAAATTTTTTCTCTCTTTCTCTACATTCTCTCTCTCTCTTTCTCTACATTCTCTCCCTCTCTTTCTCTACATTCCCCTCCCTCTCCTTTTTTTACAAACTCTCTCTCTTTCTCTACATTCTCTCTCTCTCTTTCTCTACATTCTCTCTCTCTCTTCTCGTGCTCATTCTCTCACTTTTCTCTACATTCTCTCTCTCTCCTTTTCTCTACATTCTCTCTCTTTTTCTTCTACATTCCTCTCTTTTCTCTACATTCTCTCTCTTTTCTCTACATTCTCTCTCTTTTATCTACATTCTCTCTCTTTTCTCTACATTTTCTCTCTTTTCTCTACATTCTCTCACATTCTCTCACATTCTCTCTACATTCTCTCACATTCTCTCTACATTCTCTCACATTCTCTCACATTCTCTCTACATTCTCTCACATTCTCTCTACATTCTCTCACATTCTCTCTACATTCTCTCACATTCTCTCTACATTCTCTCACATTCTCTCTACATTCTCTCACATTCTCTCTACATTCTCTCACATTCTCTCTACATTCTCTCTACATTTCTCACACATTTCTCTACATTCTCTCACATTCTCTCTACATTCACTCACTTCTCTCTCTACATTCTCTCACATTCTCTCTTACATTCTCTCACTTCTCCTCTACATTCTCTCACATTCCTCTCCACAATCTCTCACAATACTCTCTGTCTACATTTCTCTCACATTCTCTCTCTCACATTCTCTCCCTCTCACATTCTCTCTCTCTCACATTCTCTCTCTCACATTCTCTCTCACAATCACTTCTTCTCTCTCACATTCTGTCTCTCACATTCTCCACTCATCACATATCTCCTCTCACAATTCTCTCTTTTCACAATTCTCTCTCACTAACATTCTCCTATTTTTTCTCTACATTCTCTCTCTCTCTCTCTCTCTCTCTTTTCTCTACATTCTCCCTCTTTTCCCTCTACATTCTCTCTTTCTCTATCATTCTCTCACTTTTCACTACATTCTCTCTCTTTTCTCTACATTTCTCTCTTTTCTCTCTACATTCTCTCTCTCTCTCTACATTCTCTCCTCTAAACATTCTCTCTCTCACATTCTCTGCTCTCTCTCCTCTAACATTCTCTCGCTCTTATTCTCTACATTCACTCTCTTTTCTCTACAATCTCTCACTCTACATTCTCTCTCTCACATTACTCATCTCTCTCCTACATTCTCTCCTTCTTTTTCTCTACACTCTCTCTCGATCTATCATTCTCCTCTCATCCTCTACATTCTCTCTCTCTCTCAACATTCTCTCATCTCGTCTCTAACATTCACTCTCTCGCATCTACATTCTATCTCTCTCTCCTAACATTCTCTCTCTCTCCTAGCAATCTCTCTCTCTCTACATTCTCTTCTCTCTCTACATACTCCTCTCTCTCTAACATTTCTCTTCTCCTCTCTCTCTCTCCCTCTCCCCCCCCCCCCTCTCTACATCTCTCTCTCTCTCTACATATTCTCTCTCCTCACTCCTCTACATTCACTCCCTCTCTCTCTCTCTCTCTCTCTACTCCTCTCTACATTCTCTCTCTCTCTCTCTCTACATTCTCTCTCTGTACATTCTCTCTCTCTCTCTAACATTCTCTCTCTCTCTCTCTCTACTTCTCCCTCTCTCAATCTGCATTCTCTCTCCTCCCCACTAACATTCTCTCTCTCTACATTTCTCTCTCACTTCGCTCCTCTCTCTCTCTACATGCTTCTCTCTCTCTCTGTCTAACCATTCTCTCGTCTCTACTATCTACATTCTCTCTCTCCTCTCTCTACTATTCTCTCTCTCACTCACTCTCTCATTCTCTCACTCTCTCTCTACATACTCTCTCTCTCTCCCTCTCTACGATTCCCTCTCTCTCTCTCATACATATCTGTCTGCTCTCACTCTCTCACTCCTCTCCTCTCACTCACTCCATCTCTCACTCTCCATCTCTCAATCTTCAACATTCTTCTCTCTCTCTCTCTACATTCTTCTCTCTCCACTCTCTACATCTCTCTCTCTCTCTCTCTCTCTCCTCATCTCAATCTCTCTCCTCTCTCTCTCTCTCTCTACAATTCTCTCTCTCTCCTCTACATTTTCCTCTCTCACTCTCTCTCTCTCTCTTCTACCCTCTCCAACTCACCCTCTCTCTCTCTCTAATTCACTCTCTCTCTCTACATTCTCTCTCCCTTCCCTCTCTCTCACTCTCTCTACATTCTCTCTCTCTCTCACTTCGTCTCTAGTCATTCTCTCACTCTACATTCTCTCTCTCTCTCTCTACATTCCTCTCTCCTATCTCTCTACATTCTCTCTCTCTCTATAATCTCTCTCTCTCTCTACATTCTCTCTCTCACTCTCTCTCTACATTCTCTCTCTCTCTCTCTCTCTACATTTCTCTCTCTTCTCTCTCTACATTCTCTCACTCTCTCTCTCCTCTCTAACTACTCCTCTCTACATCTCACTCTCCCTCTGCTCTCTCTCCTCTCTCAACATTCTCTCTCTCCCTCTACATTCTCTCTCTCTCTCTCTCTCCTCTCTCTCTCTACAATTCCTTCTCTCTCTCTCTCTCTCTCTACATTCTCTCTCTCTCTCTCACTCTACATACTCTCTCTCTACTCTCTCTCTTCTCTACATTCTCCTCTCTCTCGTCTCTCTCTCTACTTATACATTCCTGCTCTCTCTCTCTCTACATTCTCCTCTCTCTCTACATTCTCTCTCTCACTCCTCTACAGTCTCTCTCTCTCTCTCTACATTCTCATCTCTCTCCTCTCTATACTTCACTCTCTCTTCTACATTCTCTCTCTCTCATCTCTCTACATTCTCATCTCCTCTCTCTCTCTCATACTAACATTCTCCTCTCGCTCTCTAATTCTCTCTCTCACTCTACATTCTCTCTCTCTCTCTACATACTCTTCTCTCTCTAGATTCTCTTCTCTCTCTCTCTCTCTCTACATTCTCTCTCTCTCTCTCTCTCTACATCTCCCCTCTCTCTCTCAACATTCATTCTCTCCTCTCTCTCTCTCTACATTCTCTCTCTCTCTCTACATTCTCTCTCTCTCTCTCTACATTCTCTCTCTCTCTCCTACATTCTCTCTCTCTCTCTCTACAATCTCTCTCTCTCTCACCCCTCTACATTCTCTCTCTCTCACTACATTCTCTCTCTCTCTCTTCCTACATTCTCTCACACTTATCTCTCTCTACATTCTCTCTCTCTCTCTGCTAACATTCTCTCTCCATCTCTCTCTCTCTGCATTCTCTCCTCTCTCTCACTTCTCTCTCCTCTCATTCTCTCTCTACATTCTCTCTCTCTTCCCTCAACAACTTCTCTTCTCATACATTCTTCTCTCTCTCTCTACATTCTCTCTCTCTCTCTTCTCTAAACATTTCTCTCTCTCTCTACATTCTCTCTCTCTCTCTCTACATTTCTCTCTCTCTCTCTACATTCTCCCTCTCTCTCTCTCTCTCTCTACAATCTCTTACTCTACATTCTCTCTCTACATTCTCTCGTCTCTCTACATTCTCTCTCTCTCTCTCTCTCTCTCCCTCTCTCATCTCATCTCTACATTCTCTCTCTCCATCTCTCTCTAACAATGTCCCCACTCGTCCTCACTATCTCTCTCTACATTCTCTCTCTCTCTCTACAATTCTCTCTCACCTCTCAAAATTCACTCTCTCTCTCTACATCTCTCTCACTCTCTCTCTACATTAATTCTCTCTCTCTC